AACGTAAGGACAACATCAGTAGGTATGTTAGCCTTTACTAACCTTAACCTAACCTAATCCTTACGAACCTAACCTAACCTATATTTAAAACTCCCAAATGAATTCGACTTGATGATGATGTTTGGTAACTTCTACACCTCATCCCTAGTTCATTTCCTCACTGATGTTTGCCTAATTCCTCCCTCACACCTACCCACCTTCATTCACACCCACCTACCACCCCTCCCTCCCTCACTCACACCCACCCACCACCCCTCCCTCACTCACACCCACCCACCCCTCCCTCCCCTCCACACCCACCCACCCACACCCACCCACCCACCCACATAATCACAACAGTAATCGCAATAACACCATGCTAACTACACCCCGCCCCCTCCCCTCGAGGTGCAAGCGACGCGGCCCCAGTGAATGCTATTGTACTCACAGGGGATTTGTCTCCTAGGTTCGATACCTTTGTCGGGGGGATTAATACGCATGTGACGGTGGCGGCGATTACTTCTGGGGGAGGGGTTATGTGTGTGAAGGGGTGTACAACATTCTTAAATATAGGGGGTTTGTGGGGCAGATTAGTTAAGGATTAATACTAGGGAATTAATTGTGTTTATGTAGTAGTAGTAGTAGTAGGGGGGGTGGTAGTAGTAGTAGTAGGTGGTGGTGGAAGAGGATTACGGTCTTACTGTCTGGTGAAGGTCGTCCTCAGTGGCAGGTTGAGAGAGCGAGGAAGGAAGGTGTTGGGGGCAGCACCACCAGCTTACTGCACCTTTGTTGACACTTTTCATCCTTCTCTTCCTCTACTTCTTCTTTTTCTTCCTCCTCCACCTCTTCCTCTTCCTCTTCCTCCTCCTCTCCTCACACAGGTAATAATGAGTGCCTGAGGAGTTTTAGGTTGGTCTAAGATAATTCAGAATGTATTAGTTGGTAGTCTAAACGAGAGCTCTCACTTGTGGAATAACTTAGCTCTGTGTTGAAGGTTTTTAATCATCAACTGACATAAGCTTGGGGGGGGCTAATCTTCATGTCTTACCGGGAAAAAAATCAATGATGAAACACACGAGGAGCAGTTAGATTGACAGGTTAGGTTAGGTTAGGTTAGGTTAGGTTAGGTTAAGTTAAGTTAAGTTAAGTTAGGTTAGGTAGAATCAAAGGTAGATTGTCGTCGCATCTAACATCTTATAACTTTGTATTCAAAATCCCAAACCTGAATCACATGAAGTTTAGTCCTGCAGTTTAGTTCACGAGATGATTAAACACCTTAACTCTACCTGGGGAGGGGAGAATGGTTCAGGGATGGGGGTAAGGAATGGGTCAGGGGTGGGAGGGTATGGGGTATGGGAGTAAGGAATGGGTCAGGGGTGGGAGGGTATAGGGTATGGGAGTAAGGAATGGGTCAGGGGTGGGAGGGTATGGGGTATGGGAGTAAGGAATGGGTCAGGGGTGGGAGGGTATAGGGTATGGGAGTAAGGAATGGGTCAGGGATGGGGTGAGGGGTGGTCATCGTGTTGAAGTCCTTACTAATTGAAGGATTATAGCTGGGTAGGTGACCTGTATTATCTCTGGCCATGACCCAGAGTGACCTGGTGTAGGGTTATGTTGTGATAATGAGAGGTCAGGAAGTCAGTACCCTTAACCCCCCTCCCCTCCCCTTCCTGGTCTTCCTCCCCTCCCTCCTAGTCTTCCTCCCCCACCCCCCTCTCCTCCCGTCTTCTAACCAATGTAATCCAATTTTTAATAACTAACCAAATTTTATCAAGAATTTTAACAACCAACCAAGCGAGATGGTTATTATTTCACAACCAAATTGGATCAAATTCTACCTATATTTATCAACACGAAACATTTCATCCTCTCTCTCTCTCTCTCTCTCTCTCTCTCTCTCTCTCACATGACTTTGAGAATCTCTTTAGAGTGATGGTGTCAGGGAAGGAGGATGGCGTCAGCACTTATCAGAGGTCACCAGATAACCAGGCTCAGGTCGAGGGTCATTGCTGTTCAAGGCGATAACGGAGAAGGGGTGGCTGGTGGCGATAAGGCAGGCGGTGGGGGGGAGGTTAGGTTAGGTTAGGTTAGGTTTGGTTTGGTTTGGTTGGTTAGGTTTGGTTGGTTAGGTTAGGTTAGGTTGGTTAGGTTAGGTTGCCGTTCTAAAGTTGTGTGATCATGTATGGAATGTTTGTTATTGGTTGTTATGGCTTGTTGTTGTTGTTGTTGTTGTTGTTGTTGTGTTAATGGTGAGATTGATAGTGATTGTTTATCTGGTTAGAATTTCGTAAACATATTGATATTTTTTACTATTCATAAATAAGATTTCATGAGTACCCAAATGCTGACGTGACCTGACCTGACCTAATCTAACCTGACCTGACCATCCCATTTAACATTAGGGTGGTTAATTTTCATGTGAAATAAGCTGGTGGGGGGGTTGTTCCTAAGCTTAATGTGGTTCCTTTCGTTTTAATATTAATACCTACCGTCATTATAATTTAACGATAATGATGACTTACAATGATTTAACTTGATAATAATGATATAGTTCACCTTTTGTTTTGATCACGATGGTTAAGGTAGAGTGAAGGATATCTCACTTGTTAAACATGAAACGGAACACTTGACTGATAACTTAACACAGACACTTTATCACCAAGCCGTATGTCGCAAATATACTAATCACCACCAGGTCATCTTCACCATTTGTTCTCACGCTGTAGTACAAGTTGTTTGGTTGGGTTCGGTTAGGTTAAGTTTTGTTTTGTTGGGCTAGGTTGTTAGGTTGGTTAGGTTAAGTTAGGTTTGGTTGGGTTAGGTTAAGTTAGGTTTGGTTGGGTTCGGTTAGGTTTGGTTAGGTTAAGTTAGGTTTGGTTGGGTTCGGTTAGGTTAAGTTAGGTTTGGTTGGGTTAGGTTAAGTTAGGTTTGGTTGGGTTAGGTTAAGTTAGGTTTGGTTATGTGAATGATTAATCATAAAGGGGTTTAGCAGTGATAAGTTGTCCGGTAATACTTTAACGTGAAAACGGACACTTCGATGTTAACTGAATGTACTAAGCGAAGATTAACGTGTGTTAGGGAGTTGTGTGAAACTTCTCGCCTCTAAACTATAAAATGACTTGACCTGACCTGACTTAAGCTGACCTGGATACGCCCAGTTTAATTATACTTGACCCCTCCCATTCTCCCTCTTATTTTGAATTGACCTGACGCTAGTGACCCATCTTAGGTCACTTCTAGGTCAGGTTAGATTTACGCTGAGTTGAGTTAGTCTAGATTTACGTTGGGGTAAGTTAGGTTAGCTTTGCGCTGTGTTAGGTTAACTTTGCGCTGTGTTAGGTTAGCTTTGCGCTGTGTTAGGTTAGCTTTGCGCTGTGTTAGGTTAGCTTTGCGCTGTGTTAGGTTAGCTTTGCGCTGTGTTAGGTTAGATTTACGTTAGGGAGGTCAGTCTTCTGGTGCAGTTGGCTGGGGGAGAGAGGGAGGGAACATCTATACCCTAAAGTAACAATATGAATAATAACTAACCGAAGATAACAGAAAGCATCAACCCATAAGTTAACCTAACCCAAAGACTGTTCCCTTAAAAAAAAAAAAGTAACTACCACCAAGATACATAACAAACCAACAAAAACACTGAATCTAACATGAGTAAGAAGTAGTCAAGAAAGTTTGGGTGTTAAGGCGTATTTTGTTTATGCTCTTTACCCCCGTCTACTGCTACATGCGCGTGATCTAAAAATAACTCCGGATTTTCGCGCTAAAAATAACCTTGACATTTTGCATAGTGGTTGGTAGTGGCCGATTTTTGGGAGGACCATTGACTATATTCTGATGTTTGGTTATGTTGGCTAGGGTGAAGGGAGGGGAGGGGGGGGGTGGTGCCATATATTTTAGCTTTTGTGTTTTGAGTAATTTGTATAAGTAAGTTTCTTGGGGGTGTTTTTTTAATAGTTGAAGATATTTTTTTCCTCTCCTTTTTATCATTGATAGATTGTAGTACACTTATATTATTTTCTCGTTGTGGAATTTATATACATATTCCATAAGTTTCATCGTTTAACATTATCTGAACATATGTTAAGCTTGCACGATTTACCCATGAATCCTACATTGTCGGGTTGATAAATGGGTAATATAAAGTCAAATTACAACCTACAATTGTCAGCTGAATGTGTCCGATTGCAGTGGCAGGTTTGCAGGTAAACTCAGGAGGTATTAGAGAGTGGCTGCCGCCTGGGTCGCTGGCCCGACCAACACCCCCACGCGCGCTCTTTTCCGACACTCAATATTGTTAGGTTTATAAGGTTCTATAGGCGCTTATCACCGTCTCAGTGGTCCATTTTGGTTTGGAATAATTTACGTGTATTATTATTTTTTCCCCCTAGAATACTATAAGAATTAATGAAATTTTAGCTTGAGGGGAGAAAGAATTGTTACTGTTATTTGAGAGATATTTGATGATCACCAAGTTGGCAACACGCGTGCCTGACGGGCCGCGCCACCTTACATAACAGTCTACCAGTCGTCGGATTATTTCTTCTTTGCTCTTGTACAAAACACAATAATGTATGAATGTATTCTCAGAGAATGATGCCATTGATTTGCTAGTATTGTATAAAATGTATAAAATGAACAAGAATAGTAATGCGCAAGTTTGTTAATTTATTGACTAGGCATCGAGAGCAGCCGGGTAGTTCCCTCCACACGCACTAGATGGCACTAGTCTGGCCAGCGCCCAAATGTCCGATTCGCTATTGTGGCACTGCCTTCGACACCTGGATTGGAGTGATGTCTGGGTTTATTTTATTTTGTACAGATAAAGGACATCTTAGGTCTTTCATAAAGGTAGATGTAAATGTTATCTGCACTTTGCTAGTTCGATATTTAGTACAAAAAATATATTATTAGATAATATTAAACCACACTATCAACTGTCCGAAGACTTCAGAGACGGGTTTTGGCGCGAATGCGACAATGCTGTAACAGACTGTTTTGGCGGGAAACCAGTGTTGGCGGGCGCGTGAAGCAGACGAAGCCTGTCACATTCCCGCGCTACGATTTGGCGCGAAAAGGCGTGTATAGTGTTTGCCGTAGGTGTCGCGCATAGATGTGAACTGACGGAAGGCGACTCATAGGTTTTGAAGTTGAGGAACATTGGGGTGACCTGTAGAAGGCTACCAACACAACTGGCAGTGTGCATCTACCGAATCAATAATGCCCATCCCACCTACAAGTGACAGACAGACACTTGTCAAGCATTGCAACGCACAGGTAAGTACTAGCTTGTATTAAGAATACTGTGGATGTCATTTTAAGCAAGTTATCGTTTAATTACAGTGGCTACATTTACATTTAGTGGTTATTTATTTATTATTTTTTTACAAACTTCAATTATGACCATTATCGATAAATTACCGTATGTGGATAAATTGATGCGAGGCAGTGTTACCACCCCAAAAAGTACTGTTTGCAGCCATTAAGTCGACTATTATATTTCATATTTATGTGGTAATCATCTATAATACTACAGTGATAATCACGAGAAAATGTCTTATCTAGTGCGATAGAGATAAGTTTTATTATCCAGCATCCAATAACATTAGTAACCTCTGTGATAACTGAAAGTGATAGTTATAGTGTTTGATTGAGAACTACCTTACATGTATCATCATATGTCTAAGTTTGATGTGACAGGATTCACCTAAAAACGGTTCGTGTATAAGAGAGCAACATTTAGGGGGGCGTTTGGCGGGTAGATAAGCGCCCGAGTGGCAGGTACCTCCTCGTAGCTCTGGGGTCTACTCACTTCCACCCAAGTTGCGCAATGTTGGCGACGTGTCTCCCTCAAACTCATATATACGCCGGGCTCGTGTTGCTCGTCAAGTTCGGTCTGTCATGTCGCATTTCTTTATTCAATGGGTAGCCTTCGTCTGAGTTGTATGGGAAACTGAACGGACATCGGAATTTAAATGTCTAGTCAACATTTTTTAGACCAGTTTTGCCCCGCAGCTAAACCTGTTATCCTGCCTGGCTGAGGCGGGCTGTCTGGGACCGACCGCATCACGCCGGTCGTCCGCCCGAGAAAGTAGTTCGGTGACCCGGCATTCGTCACATTTTTCTCTTTTACTGTGATAATACGCATTGATAGTTCATGTTATGGGTATCATAATGTTTAGTTAAGTGGATTCTACCTAATTTCATACCAAATATACTTCAGAAGACCTAATTTTCAGAGAAAACTTGCAAAATATGGCCGTGGCCCATCCCTAATCTGCAGTGCAATGCCGCAGTAAAACTTCCCGAAAGGCCAAATGCGATATATTATTCACTCGTCCGCACTGTTAAACAATGTAGGACAACACATCCGACCTGAAATGTGTTATTCCGCAGATGTTGCTCGACGTGGAAGAAGAGCGAGTACATGTGTAATTTTCACATGGGGCGGTACTCAAGGCCGGGCGCTAAATGGTATCAGGCGTACCAACCGCTACTACAGTCTCTCTCCCTCCTTCCTTCCCTGGCTCTCTCTCACGTGGGGGGAGGGGGACGTCTAGAAGATAAACCGGCTGTTGCATCATAGACATTATGTACTAGCGCTAGGTAACTCTCATGGAGCTATAGAAGGTACATAAAGGCGCGTGTGTAATTTATCTCATATATTTATTTTATTTCTTGAGAGCGGAAGACGCTTCTTGGAGAATTTTAATTAATCGCTAAGTTTAAATGCGGTATTTTGCCATTAGGGACACTGTTATTTTAGGAATATTAAGGTAGGATTTTTTAATTGCTGTGCCAGATTACTTTAGAATAATAAGATACACATTAAAGGACTTATTGAAACATTAAATTGGGTTTGATTAATACTCATTAAGTGTTTATGAGAGCTGCAGTAATTAATATTTAGTGGGAATAACTGTAGTTTTTATATGATAGTTGACTGGATTGTTGTTTCGGTGTCAAGTACAAAATGCTTGGTAATGCCGCCTTGTTTTGCACACCATAATAGTTGAAAATTTTTTTTACCTGTAGTTGTGATAGATTTATTGAATTCGTTGTAATGCATTTATTGAATTAGTTGCGGTGCATTTATTGTTTTTTTATTTCGATATTTATCCATTTAATTTGGAATATGGATGCATTTAGTTAACCCTCTCAGATTTCACGATCGTAGCAAATTCCGGTTATCGTATCCTCAAGCGACAAGTAATTTGGGATCACATTATTCCCAGCATGTATCACCTGATGATTAAATATCCTAACACTACCAGGAGGGGTTAGGTTAGAGTGTTTAATCCTCACGTAAAATAACAGGGCTGATATTCAGGTGAACAGTATTTTGAGATTTTATCCATAATGAAGAATATGCCATGTGTTGGATCGAGAGTAGTGTGTGTGGGGGGGAGGGGGGGGTGATTAATGGAAGTCTTGGGTACATAACATAAGAAAATAAGGAGTCTGCAATAGGCCAGTTGGTCTGTGCATGGCAGCTCCTGTCGAGAGTTACTACCACTCTCTATCATCCATGAATCTATCCAGCCTCCTTTTGAAACTTTCCAGAGTTCCAGCACTTACTACAAAGTTGCTAAGCTTGTTCCACTCGTCCACCACCCTATTTGTGAACCAGTTTCTTCCTATCTCCCTCCTAAACCTAAACTTATCCAACTTAAATCCGTTGCTCAGAGTCCTATCCTGCTCGGATATTATAAGAACGATTCCTTTCACCCACTTAAATACTTCTATCATATCTCCCCGCACTCTTCGTCTTTCTAGGGAATGCAAGTTTAGTTTCTTTAACCAATCCTGATATGAAAGGTTTCTGAGTCTCGGAATCATTTTCGTCATTCTTCGCTGCACCGACTCAAGTGAATTGATATCCATTCTATAATAAGGGCACCAGAACTGAACCGCATAATCGAGGTGCGGCCTGACTAGCGCAAGATATAGTTGCAATAAGACCTCTGCACTCTTATTACTTACACTTCTAGATATAAAACCCAATACTCTGTTTGCCTTATTTCGAACATTAATGCACTGTTTTCTAGGCCGTAGGTCCGGGCTTACAAGTAGCCCTAGGTCTCTTTCACAACTGAGTGACTAAAGGGTTATATGTACAGCATTTAAGTCGTATAATTCGTAATAGGAAGATGGCTTATTGACCTTATTTCGCATTTTAGTTATAGTGAATCATTTGCTCAACGCCAGCCAACTACGAGGGACAGTAAATTGATGCAGACGTGGTGGGTATGGTTGTAGTGTGAGGGTGGGTAGTGATGGGTATAGATGTGAAGCAGGAGCAGTAATGGATAGGTGTAGGTGCGTAAGGATTGGTTTGCATAGGCTAAAGGACTGTTGCAGTTTACTTGGATAACAGTGACGTGAATGAGCCGTGTGTGTGTGATGTGTTTTATCTACACCAGTGATCCTCCCTCAGGCAGGTGATGTGTTTGATATTTAGTGTTGACTGGCTCAAGACTCCACTTGATGGTGTAGTTTGTGTTGCATTGTTGAGTCCCTGTGTCATCTGTTGTGCCAATGTACCGTCTACATATTTTGATGTACCATAAAAGACCGCCTCCACCAGCAGAAGGCAGGAGAAAGGTCGTGTCTTCACTATGTGGACGGGAACGCCAGACGCTGTTAATTGCTCACGTTGGCACTGTTTTTATATGACGGCCGGTGGACCAGCCAACGTATCACAGTCTTTGGAGAGCGCGGTATGAACATTACCTTGTACTTTCAGGAACAGATATCACTTGCCAGAGTCGCTCTCCACTTATACGTAGATATTCCAAGTTCCCATTTATAACTGTGGTATGTACTATCTGCCTTACCATCCTGCGTCAGTAATGATGGCGGCTTGAATGTGCAGTCATCCGCAGAACGGGACGCTGTTGGCGGCAGCTACAGTATCAACTTGACGGAGAACTAGAGAGCTCAAGTTAGATCTCTGATAAAGACATTCCATAAGATTGAACCCAAGGAGTGATCCCTCCTAAAGGTACACACACACCCTGCAGCTGGAGTGTCTGGTGTTGCATGCACGACGGCGGCAGCGGTGCGGAGTGTGTTTCCATGTTTGTGACCAAGCAGAACGGTGTTAGTCAGCTTGGCTTCCATTACCTTGTAGAATTTGGATTTTCCTTGGGCATTTAGGGTCCTAGGGTTTCCTTTTGGGTTCTCGAGGAGCCTTTAGGGTGAAATACCTTGGGGATTTTTACATGTATTCCTTGTCCTTCCATCTTGACGCACGAACGTGATGTGTCGTGGTAGGACCCAAGGTTTATCCTGGTAGCACCTATAAGGAATAGTATATAATTCTCGTTAAGTTCTAAAACAGCTCGACTCTCTTCTGTAGTGCTTTATATTTTCTTTAAGAGTCCTTTAGAGAAGCCGAAAGTCCGTCTAGTCATCCACGGTCGAAGGATCCTGTCATGTTTAGAGTCATCACCTGGATGTTCATTCTCCTGTACAGTGCTTCCTGCCAGGCATGTAGACAGTGGCTGCAGGATATCTGTGACCATCTTGACACCCAGAATACAAACTGGCTGTTGCAAGATTATACCAGTCTTAACTCCGTATTAACTGTTATCTGTAGATGCTACTCTTAAAAAAATTCTGATTATAGGTGAAAGTGTTTTGGGTACAGATAAAAGTATTAAAGGTGCACATAAAAACGTTAACGGTTTGTTATAATGGGTTTGTGTGTGTGTGTGTGTGTGTGTGTTTTATAAATACTCTGGGATACTTTTAGATTTTTTCTCTTTGTGACAGTTCAGCCCCACATCTCGACCCTGTCTTATTCCTTCCACTTTAATTGGTCATTTGCATGTAGTATCTGCGACTATTGATGTCACTACAAATCAGAGAAGAATCCCGGGGAGTACTGATAGATGAGTCGTCAGATTATATACACTTCGGTAGACACTCCATATTTGGTTGTACAGGATGTGTGTTGTAGTCCCGTCAGGAGGGATAAAGATTCCTACGTAAGGACATTCTTGACACCCAAGGAGCAGGAGCAGCAGCAGGGACGGGGCTGAGGAGTTGCAAGACAAGTGGCGGTTTTTTGTCAAGACCAGGATCAAGATTCACCAGGAATCTATACGTTAGTGTTGTCTGGTAACGTGCTTACTAAACTACTGTATCTCGTTAAGGTGGATGGCCTTAGTGTAATTAGGTTCAGTTTCACATTTTTAATCTCGTGGTTTTACTTAATTCAATCTTATATCTTTATCATAAGGACATTTCAACGCACGAAATTTGAACATTCT